TGCCAGTAGTAGGGCCACTTATGGTTCTGGACTCTTGGATATGGATGTAGCTTTGGCTAATTTGGTCTCAAATACAAATTTAATTAAAAAAAAAAATAATACAGGAACTATTTGTCCAGACCCATTAGTTGTGCTACAAAAGTTGAACCTCTGCTGTTTGTACTGAGATCTGTGCCTAGCTGTTGACTCTCAAATCAAGCTGGCTGGAAAAATGGGAGGGCATTTTAAAAAAATTGTAAAAAGAGACCTGATGATCTCATGAGGTCCCTTCCAACCCCTAACATCCATGAATCTATTTGTTTTTAAATGGTTGAAAACCTTCAGGTTTTTTTCCCCTTGTTATTCCCTTTTTCTCTTTCTCTGTTTTGCCAGTAAGATGGGTTGAGAAAAGAAAACTGAAATTTTTTTCCCCAATTTTTATTGAAGTAAACTGAAAACTTTCGAGACCCCTCCCAATATTTTGGGTTGATTCTTTTTTTGTGGGGGGAGGGAGGTGGAAGTTATTTTTCTATCAAGAAGAATTTTTTTTTTGCTAAGAAGAGAAAATTATCAACATGTAAATATGGTTGTAAAGGACAGGTAATTGTCCCGTTGAGAGACATAGGCCCTGTTGTACAGTGGTTTATGTGACTGTGGAGAATTTTAGCCTGTCTATAGCACTCTGCAGCATTCAATAGTTAATCCCCACTGCACCCATCCTAGTGCAGTAGGTAAGTACCATTAGCCTCAGGGGGAAACAATGGCGAAAAGTTAAATGGCACAGCTAATGGCATAGAGGAAATAAGCAGTGCCACCAGGACTGACTTGCAGGGATCATGTGCACTTTGTTTGGAGCTCAGTTCACTGAACCAAGCTGCTTCTCATGCAAACTGAGATACGCCAGCTTGTCACATGAGGTTATGTACAGCAGAGCCTTCTCCTAGGCAGGCAGCAGGCTAGGAGGGAGCTGTCTGTGTTGCCAAGGCCAACTTAGGTGGCAGTGCCTCCAAGTAGAAGTCTGGTAGTCTCACACCTGGTTTCATGGATCCCCAGGGGCCAACCCTGCATCACAGTAGGGGGAGGCCTGGTAATCTGTGATCTTTGTGATTAGTTTTTGTAATCCAGTACTGCTCAGAGACCCCAGCTGAGGTCTGGACACTGTCATGGGCTCGGTGCAGACACACGTGAGAGATTATCATAAAGAGCTTCCTGCCTAAATAGACAGAACAGAAAAAAGGTGGGAAGGGAAATGGAAGCACAGGAGAGGTTGAAGTGACTTGACCAAGGTCACTTACTGGGTCAGTGGCAGAGTCCAGTGCTCTTATGTTCTAGTTCTCGGTAGAATCATGCTGCCTCTCTCGGGGAATTACCTGCAACAAACTTTCAGCTACAGCTGGCTGGGAACTTTTGGGCAAAAAAAAGTCTTTTCTTTAGAAAATGCTGATTTGCTGAAACTGGAGTTTTTCTCATGAGAAGGTCGGTTTGGATGAATGTTTTGACTTGAAAGTATCTTGGAAATTTTTTTTTTTTTTTTAAATTGTCAGGCTGCTTTGTGCAACATTTTCAAAGCAAAACTGTCTGGTTTGAAGTAAGATTGAATTGAGAAATCTCAGTGAATTGTAGTGAAAAAGAAAAATGATTGGATCGAAACATTTCAGTTGACCTAAATGAACATTATTTTTCCCAGGCTTTCAGCTTGCGAAAATATGTGAGGTCCAAAATCTCAGCTGTCTTCTTCACAGGTCAGAGGAACGGTTTCCTTCTCCAGATTTGCTTTCAGCACCTGCAATGGGTTTGCATTTTCAGGGTGGTGTTTCTCTTAGACTGTAAACAAGGGTGAAATGTAATCCTTTAGAGATGGAAGCTAAGTTTGGTCCTGATCTTTTCAGCTTATGCCCCGTTCCTTCAGTGGTGCCTGTCAGGACATTCCTCTAACAGGGGCTGTGCAGGCCACAAGCTGTTGCTCTGATGCATTACTGCAGCATATATACTCCAGTGGTAGCTGGCTGGTCATACAAGGCTGTTCTTGGAAGTAAAGAGGGCTCTAGAGTTTCCTTAGTATCTGTGCCCCAAGAGAAGTCTCTCTTCCTACACACCCTACCATTTCCTTTTCAGAGCCTAAGGACATGCTTCAGACCCCATCATCCATGTCCCTGACCAGACATCACATTAACTGAAGTAATAAAACAATTTCTACAAGCTCCAGGTATTGGACAGTGGATGTGAGAACAAGTGTCAATGACAAATCCTCCCCCCAGAGCCAGTAACTGCCTGTTGCAGGAGGGGAAGGGGGAGTAGTGGCTGAATTCCAGCTCCACTACTTCTGCACTTGTGGCCTGCCGAAATGGGCCCTAAAATCCTTGAGAAGTCAATAGGTGTTGGGATGGTGCAGCAGTGGGCATAGGGAAGAACCTAGTAGGCTAAGGAATCAAAGGAGCGGAGGGGGCTACTCCTGTCCACCCCTCTGCCTCAGCTGGTAGATGGGACACCGTGTTTGTCTCAGGTGAAATGTTCTGTGTTGTTCTCTGCAGGGACAGTGGCCATGGGAGATGCTGCAGTTTGAGGCCCTGTTTATACAGGGCACCATTGCCACCCAGCAGATCTAGGCATCATTTGTATGGGTGACAGAAGCTGTCTCATTGAGAGAGGAACCTCCATGCTGCAGCCGGTGACTCACGTAGATTTCTAGCAGGGTCCTTTCCCTCTTCCTCCTGCCTGGGCTCGGGGTGGGGACAGAGGGAAGTTGCTCAGATGAAAAGGATAGTTTTACTCCAGTGGCTCCATGCTCCCAAGTGTTGGGGACAGAGAAGAAAAGGAACTGTCAGCTGGCAAGCTGGCTGTGCTGAGCAGCCATCTTCAGCACAGAAGTGGAAAGGAAAGCTAGGGGAGAGCATATAAGTTTTCTTGCTAATTAGGGGCTTGTATGAATAGGAGGGGGGCATAATGTGTTTCTGCAAGGGTGTGCAGAATGGGACATTTTTGTGCAGAGAGTTTAAGAGTTGGGAGGGAGAAGGATGTGTGGACCATCTACTACTACCCTAGCAAAAATGCATCCTGGCCAGTGTTGAATATGCGCTTCAGGGCTGTTTTTCTCATGGCCTCTTTTGGGGAAAGGATCCCCCTTTCCTGTCCTGGCATCTCTTCACTCCTCCAGTGTTTCCAGTCCCCTGCTTTCTCTCTTCACTTCTGATCACGTCTTCTTGTTTCAGAGCCCGGTGCTCTCTTGGGTACAGGCTTGGGTGAGAAATGTTTCCTGTGCTGCTTAAACTTGCCAACTATCTCAGCTTTCCCCCCTCTCAACATTTGAGAAGCTGGAATCTTAGATTTCACAAAAATGAAAATCTGGAACACAAAAAACGGTTTGGGTCAGTAAAAATATGGTGTTTCTGTCAGAACTATTAAAAGCAATCTTTTTCCTATTGTTAGCTCAAATGTCTAACTGAGGAGTTGTTTCATGCTGACAAACTGAAGCCTTTTAGCTTTGAAACATGCAGAAATTTAGTTTTTTACAAAATGCTTGCAAGTTGCAGTCCTGCCCCTGGGAGGAGTTGGTTTTGACAAAGGGGGGAGTTTTTTTAGTGAAGAAAAGGTTCAGCTGAAACCTCCAGAGCAGGTCTGCTCAAGCTGCTCCTTGCTACCTGCCCTTCACAGAACCCATCAGAATCAGGTGGTCTATAGAAACCCCTTACCCCAGGGCTGCCCTTGCTAATGACTGTAATCCTGGTTTTTCCTGTTGGTGAATATGGCCCTTTCATTTTCCTTTTCCCCCCTGAGGGGGATGAGGTGGGTGTGGGGAGGGCCTTGACAGCTTTCTAGATGGAGCATGGGATGTGCTGGGGTCTGTCCTTTCTCCTCCCACTAAGATTTAACCGGGTGCTGTGTTTAACCAGCCTGTGGGCAGCTGGTGGGGAGATTGTTTAAGGCTTGTGTCTCTCTTTTTCAGCCCCTTTGATTCCCTGAAAGCGCATTTTCTGCTTGAGGGAAGTTTTTCTCAGCTGGCCGCAATCCCTGCTCTGCTTGTGGGCCGGGGGGAGATGTCACACAATGGCAGCACAGGGAGTTAGGTGGGGGCCAGGGCGGAGGAAGGGGCTGGGAGGCAGCAGGGGTCTATAGAAGCTTAACACACAAACAGATGTTCCTCCCTTAACCCAAGTTTCCTTTGACCACAAAGCTTCTGTTTTCTGCTACAAACACTGAAGCTAAGCTGGCTGGGGACTCTGGAGCTGTGCACGTTCTCCTTTCACCAGGTGGTGGGACTGGGGTGGGGGTGTGGGGAAGCTCAGATAAAACTGCATGTTTCTGAGGTATAGAGGCACGAGTGAGGCCCTTGGCTGCAGTGGGCAAATGTTCGGTAACTCCCAGAAGGAGAAGAGGCTCCCGGAGGTTGCCTCACTGAAGAGCACTTGTACAGACTTGCACCACCTGAGAGTCTGAGCCTAGGACTCCGGAGTCCCCCATTGATTTGGGAGTCTCCCTTGGCTGAATGCAGAGCTGGCTGTGCAGTGAGCTAGCTGGCAGAGCAGCATGGAGGGGAACAGTCTTCCCTCAGTCCCCTGACAGAAAGGAGACTGCTCTCCTGACTGAGGCTGGTCACCCTCTCTGCCCAGACTGGGCATTCAAAGGGGTGGATGGAGTGGGCACCCTCTCAGGGACATGGAGGAGGAGTGAGCTGTGGGCTTGTAATGAGCAGAGCACCAGGCTCAGAG